AGGGCATCTGGGCAGCTCCTTCTCGGACAGCTCCAGGCCTGCCCTCAGGGCTCTCTCAGCCGAGAAGCTGGCGGGAGCCCCGGGGGGTCTGGACACCCTCACCAGCAGGCTCAAGCAAGAGAGAGCTGAGGCCTGGGAGTGATTTCTGGTAATGGTATATCTAGCTTTAAAAAACAAAAGCTCAGGCGCCTGGAAGGTAGCTCAGTAGAATAAGCACTCGCCTGGCAAGCGCAAGGGCCTGAGTTCAATCCCTGATTCTGCAAAAAAAACAAAAACAAAAACCCCTGAACACCCAAAAGCTCCGAAGCAATGCCGCAAGCAAAGCCTGGGCTGCGCGGCAGCTGTGCGGCAGGGGTCTTGCCTAGCGTGCGCGAGGCCCTCGACCCAGTCCCCAGCACTGCGGAAGTGAATGAGTAACAAACCAAAGAGCTTAGGCACACATTTGAAATGTACTATTTATAAAAGGTCTATTAATTTATATAAAATGATATTTTATATTTGGAAACTTATAATGCAGAAAATTATTTTTCTTTTTAAAAATTCCAAATGTCTCTATATTTTTTTAATCTTTATTTATTTGGTCTAGGGTCTCACTACGAAGCTCAGACTCAGAGTAATCCTCTTGTCTCAGCCTCCAGGGCATGGGGCCAGCATGGCACTTGGTACCAGGGATTGAACCCTAGTCCCTGTGCTTGCCAGGCAGGTACTTAGACCACTAAGCTATCTCCCCAGTTCTTGTATAAGATTTAAAAACATAAGGCACAAAGTTTTTTTTTTTTTTTTGTTTTTGTTTTTTTTAGAGCAGAACATGGGCCAGCCAGATAGCTCAGCAGATTACAATGCCTGCTTAGGTAGACACAGGGCCTGGGGTTTTATCCCCCGCATGCTGTGCCAACCCTGCCCCCAGGGCATGCTGAGACAGCAAATGAGACTGGGTGAGGCGGTGCATGCCTATGATCCCAGCACTTGGGAGACTAAAAACAGAAGAATCACTGAGTCCAATCTACGCAGTGAGGCCCTGTAGATCCTGTACTAAATACATTTAAAAAACAGCAGAATATATTTACTGGGGGAACGAAAGCCTCTGTCTGAGAGAAGGACAGAAGGGGGGCCCAAGCAGGTTGTCCCTTAAATGTTAAGAAAATTATAAACTGAAAAACTACAGTAGTTCAGTGGATATTACCTGGCAATCCTGCTGGGACTTCCAGGAAACTTGCCTGGTCCTGTCCTGGTAACTGCTGTTACACAGCCCACTTGAGAGAGGCTGTCTGCAAAGCACAGCCCCCTCCCAACTGCCCTGGCGGTGCCGAACCATGCAGAAAGTGCCCTCATCCAGCGGCAGCTGTTTCTAGGTGTGGCTCTTCCCCTGGGTGGGGCACACCAGCAGTGACGGTGCCAGGCCAGCCCTTGGCTCTGCCATTAGACCATGTGAGCGGCTACAGCAGCACCACTGCTAGAAGGCAGGCACGCAAGCTACACACAAAGGCATGCTGCAAAACTGAGACATCCCCTTGAATAAAGGCCACTACATTTGGCAGTATGATTTTATTATTTAGGGCAAAAAGTATTTCTGGAAAAACATTTTCAAGTTTATAAAGAAACTTAATAAGGAATAGTAAACTTAGAAATATATTTTATAGGGCTGGTGAGATGGCTCAGTGGTCTAAAGCACCTACTTAGAACAAGCTTAGCACAGCACAGGGACCGCGGTTCGATCCCCCAGCACCACATGCCAGCCAGCCCCGCCCCCTGGTGGGCTGAGCTGGCCACACACACACACACACACACACACTCACACACACATAAATAAAATTTAAGAAAAAAACTTAAAAAAAATATATTTTATAGACAACTCCCCCCCATAAATACTTAATAGGCTGCGACCAAGAACATGTACATCCAAACCCATTCACTGTAATTCTTTTCTTAACTGGAAGCCAGTGATCTGAGGAGCTCTGTGACAATCCCAGCTCAGAGGTGGCGGACACTGTGATGAGCCCGTGTGCCCTGCTCATACCTCAGATCACTGCGGAGCCTCACTAGACCCATGAATAAAATGCTCTGTGCGGCAGGGCTGTAGCTTAGTGTATGCGAAGCCCCAAGTTTGATCTCTAGCAGTGCAAGGAAGAAAAAAAAGCTATGTGCAGAACAAGTCAGGAGGCCAGGTGCTGCGGCACACTCCAGGAGGAAGCTGAGGCAGGACAAGTTAGAGTGCAGCCTGGGCAGCTCAGGGAGACTTGGTGAGATCCTGTCTCAAAAAATAAAAAATGGGGTCCACCAAATAGCTCAGCGGATTAAGTGCCTGCAAGCAGGCGGAGGAGCAGGGGGTTCAATCCCTGGCCTGCCATGCCAGCCCTGCCCCTAGGGTGCACTGAGATGGCAACTGTGACGGCGTGGTGGTGCAGCCTGTAATCCCAGCTCTTGGGAGGCTGTAAACAGGAGAATCAGTACAAAGTCTGATCTAGTAGTGAGACCCTGAACGCCCTGTAGACCCTTCCCTAAAAATACAAATAAATCAATAAATAATAGCTGGGATATTGTTCAGTATGAAGGCCCTGGATTCAACCCCCAGTTCCACAAAGGAAAGACAAAAGGCAAATTGGCAACAGTTATCAGAGGACATCTCCAGGGGAAGGCAGGACTCCACGTGCACTTGGGACAGCACAGCGTGTGCGCAGCGGCGTGTGGGCGCACAGGCTCCTTGGTCCCCCGTGGACCTAGGCCAAATGCTACTATATAGCGATATGGTGGTGTCGCTCTGTAAGAGAACATGACCTCCGCAGGGCTGCAGGGTGCAAGCTCCCTTAGGAAGCGCCTAGCCCAGTGCTTGCATCTTTCCCCCATGCCTATCTTTAGACATGAGAACTAGCACCCTTCCCCTGCCTGCTCACCTTCAACCCTCGCCACTGCTTCCAGGAGACAGAGGGTGGAAAAGTACCAACGAACAAAGAGATCAATTTACAAAGGCCACAGTTAAAATTCAGTTTTCTTAACCTGAAATCCAGAATTTCAATTATTAATGAAAGGCTAAAACTATAGTCTATAATTGTTCAACAAACATAAATAACATTTTAAAATATTTAAGTAGCTCTATTTCTTTTTTTCTATAGTTTGGCCTTTAAAAGGCAAAGCTAACTGGGTGTAGTGGTGCATGCTTTTAATCCCAGCACTTTGAGTTCGAAGTAGGCCTGAACTACATCGAGAGACCCTGTGTCCAAAAAAACAAAAACAAAAACAAAAATAAGAAAGGCAAAGCTTTGGTTATCTGAAAAAGTATTAATCATAAGGAAAACGCAGGTGTCTCGGGCAGGGACATGAGCTGTCCCTGTAATCACGGATCGACGTAAACTGGGTGTCTAGAACTCTGTGGCAGGGTGGTCCCAAGAGGCAGCGACACCCAGGGCCTCCTGGCTGCACCTCTAGTCCGGGGAACGGCTGGTTTGCACGCCAACCTGCTGCTTCAGCATTTCCGACCTTAAGGGGCACTTGGGTCACAAGTGTGGCGTCCTTGGTTGCTGCATCTTTTCCATGCTTCCTTGGAATTCAGTAATTCGCTGGCTGTACTGTGCAAGACAGCTTCCCCTCCAGCCCTCGAGAGGCAGGTCCAGTGGTGGTTCTGGCCAGCTCCTGTTTTTCCTACCCACACGGGCACATATCACATGCGAGATCCACGCTTTGCCTTTCCTTGTCCCCAGCTTTGTTCCTGAACCAAGGACAGCTCCTGCGGCAACAGAAGACGGCTTCCACCTGCGTCGCTCTGATCTGATTATGTGCTAAACCCAAGCAATGGACCAGGCGGCTCCTGGGACGGCCCCCTCCTGGCCGGGCCAGGGCCAGCCCTTGGGCAGGACACTGGCCGCGACCTCGCACAGTCTGGCAGGAGCAGGAGCAGGAGCAGGAGGGAGGTGCGCCTGGGGGCACTTTCCTAAATCAGCAGGAAGCAAGCTGAGGGCCACTGCGGCAAGAGGCCTCATCCTTCAGGTGGGCTGGGAAGTGGAGGTCCTAAAGGCCTCTTTCCCCCAAGCTACACGGCCTGGCCCACTTCCAATGCGGATAATTACATTCCCCTTTCCTAAATACTCCCTGCAGCTTAAACTGGATGCAGGATTCTTCTTTTCTGCCCTAAAACACTGCAACGTTGCTCTGTGGCTATTAAACAGCTGCCGGGCCCATCCCCAAGGAGGCTGACGGGAATGGAGTGGGTCATTTATAAAGCTGCTGAAGTGCCTGGGGATGAAAGTGC